CCTTTGCTACAATCCAATTACAAGATATATATTTCATCCTGCCTCGAACTTTTAACCTTTTAATTGAACCTCATCCAGAAAAAAAAAAAAAAACAACCCAAACCCCACCCCAAGGAGCACGCTTTCCCCCCTTCCCTCCCCAGGTAATCCCTCAGGCTTTTTCAGACCTCAAATGCCGGAAGAGCACATTTTTCCGGTCATGCCAATTTTTCACATCTTCACCATATAAACATAAATTAGGGAAGCTGAATTCTCACCGAAAGCAGCCTGTAGCTCTATTTCCACAGCCATGACAAAGATTGACTGGAAAGATGCACTCCTGAAACTCAGCGTCTGCCTGTGTAACTTACGCCCACCCCTAAGGAAGCAAGGCTTACAGGGAAAGTTGGTTTTACTAGAATAACCAAGGCAGGTGGAATAAACAAATTGTCAGGTAACACAAGCCTTTTTCCATTGCTCGAAGAGCTTTTTCTCCTCCCCTGCTACAGCAGTGACTTTTATAAAGGGATTAAAACTTTCCATTCAAGCCTTTTGTAAACCAGATCCTTCAATTACCACACCTGCAACAGTACTACTACTGCGTGGAAAACCGCCACTGTAGCTTTGGTCACCTGTGTCATCGTAACATAACAGAAAACTTTTTTTTTTTTTTTAGGCAAAAAATACATTCTCAGGTAGAAGACAGTCTCCCCATCAGCCTGGCAAAGCAGGCTGGAGAGTGCTTCATCTCATGGAGTGTAAACTATTTCCACAGACAGCTTCCTGAAAGGTGAAGACAGAGAAAAAATACAGTGAAAGTAGTTTAAAAATCAACAGCTCCCATCGTCTCGGCATGCTTTTATCGAAGCTACTGTTTCCTACTTACGCGAGAGGAGGTACACGCATGGAGCTTCATTCGGCTGGGCCTTGGGCTATCGGCAAATTGCTCACGCTAGACTGTGAAAAGAACAGAGCCTTCAAACCATTTCCAGTCTAACAGGAATCAGATGAGGAGTCTGTCACAGGTTAAACAATATTATATTAGACCCGGATGCCAACTTCATCACACCTTAGAATAAGAAGCTCTACGTACTTTTCAATGTTCGGCTTATTTTTTAAATAAGTTTGGTATGAATATGCTTTATTCACGATTTGACAATGGAGTTATCCTCTTCACAATCACGTTCGAAGTGCTGAGTTTGCAACGCTTACAAATCTTTTAAATCTGCATTTTCTAGTTTTCACCTGGAGGTAAAAAGGAACACTTTAAAAACAGCAATAGCTGGTACTGCTGCACCTGTATGTGCATCAGAAACAAAAATCAAGACATTTTCTGTTACTTTGACCACGGGGACGGAAACCAGGAGAAGTTAGAGACGGAAACAAACTTGGAAATTTAGCTAGTCCATCTCCCTGCCGATGGAAAACTGAGAACAAACAACACTCCATGGCTGCTCCGGCCACTCCCATTAAAGTCAGCTAAACAGCCCTTCTGAACCATTTTGGCTGGGGTCAGAGATTGGTTTTGGCTACTGTTTCCTGAACCAAGCCCACCCTCATTCCCTGGAAACAGGATGTTAAGTCATAGCTCTAGAGAGGTCTCAGAGGGATTTGGCACACTATATCCATCACCTGGTTTTAGCTAACTTCTTTTCCTTTTTAAGCCATGAAGTTAATTCCCAGCCAATCCTTTTTTCTTGCCTGCTCGGAGCCTCCTTCCTAAGCACAGTCAGTCTGTTCCAACATCAGCATCTTCAGCATTTGGGTTTTCCCCACATACGCTGCTCAGAAGGGATCACAGGACCCGGTGAACCTTTGGAGTATCTTTTTTTCTTTACGGCAAGGCTGACGGCACCTCGCTTTAGCTCTTTGGAAGCCAAGAGCAGATACAGCAAAATCAGCACAGTAAGGTGGGGAAAAGACAAGATGCTATCATGAAGTAGGCAGCGGGGAATATCTCTGCCACCGCTTGGCACAGGGCTCCCTTCTACACCAGGAATAACCCTCTCCCTACAGAAAGCAAGGCTCCCCTTATGGGACAGCAGAGGAAATCTCCACAGAAGATTCACTACTGCGAAGCCGTGGAAAGAATTCAAGTCCAGGCTGACTTAACAGGACTGAATTGGTTTGCCTGGGCCAATTCATGAGGAGTCACACACAACCGAAGACTCATTTTAGTTAACTTTGTGTCACCAAAACAGTCAGGCCTGTGAAGTACCAAGCAGCAGAGATATGGCAGGGTGCGCGTATTCTCGATCATCAGGGGCAGGGAGACGAGACAGAAGGACGGCGTTACCTTCCTCAGCAGCATTCACAGAACTAGAAAGGTTCACAGTACTCTGTGTCCCTGCCCTCAGACAGGGGACAAAAAGTCTTATAGCAGCCCTGCATCCCCGCTGCAGAACCACACCGAGTGAATTCCTCTGGGCAGCAGCTGTTCCCTCTAACACAGTTAAAAATTGTCTCCCCAAGAACAACCCAGCACCTATGTCATGCAGACACCGTACACAATCTTTCAAAGAAGTCCACTCTCTTGTGCTCTAGTGCCTGTAGAAAGCCCCGGATTCTCTCCTCCCGCATGGCAGTGCATTTCTGCAACAGCGTCCATCGGCGCCGAGAGTCTCCGTGGGACGCAAACCCCTCCTGCTGCAGCTTCTTTGTCACGTAAGCCTGATCCCTTTCCATCTCTTGTCGCCTCCTTTCCTCCATGTAGGAGTCTCTGGCCTTCTAGAGTGAAAAGCAGTAGAGCGTTAGCACTTTGCCAGGCCTTTCAGCTCATCTGTGGTACAGATGCAAGGCAGCGTAGCTTATGGAAGAAATAGCCTCTGCTCGGCCATCAATCTGCAGGTTAAATGAAGGGTGGCTCTGCGTGCGCCTCCTCCACTTTGAGGCAGCCTGCTTGATTGGTTATAAAAAAAAAAGTACAGGGATATCCTTCCGGACCTTCTCCCCAAGACACAAGTCTGCTCACAGCATTAACTCCTAGTTAAAATAGGTAAAGGTCATGACAGATTGTGGAAAAACCCTCAGATATTGGAATCAGAGAGAAACAGCATACAAGGGGACTTTCAAACCACAGATGTGCACACAAGCTGTCCTCACCAGTGTCATCACAGAAACTTTGATCCTATTCACATGGCAGCTGAAAGGTTTTAAGGGATTCGGAACAACGATTTATGGGGCAATTCTTTGAGCTGATGATCAGGTGCTGAGCTAATCAGCTTCAGTAAAAAAGCAAGAGTGGGCTCAGCATTCCCAAATGCCTGCCATCTAATAATGTACTGGCTCGAGACACAGCAGGGTGGGTAGGAGAAAGGTAAAGGCAGTGGCTATCCTCGCCTGCCCTTCAAGTATTTGAAATACTTTTGCAGAACATCACTTTTGGATTTCTTCTTATTGCACATATCCTAGCCTGCAGCCTCCAACAGCAAAAACACACCTGCATGCAGGAATATTAAGCTTTCATTTTTAAAGAGAGTAAAACTGGTCACTGTGACATAACCTGACACACACACACTTGGGGAGTGCTGGCCTTTCAAACGAGCAAGAAGTAATTACTCTAATGAGAGCCTGACTCACTCTTCACCACACTTTCCCTATGCCCAAGTCAGTAGTCCGTGCTCTGGCACTGTAAATGAGCTTTTGTGTGCTGGGAATGAGAGTAGAAATATCTCTAGCTACAGAACCGATAGCACTCCACTGCTGTAGCTCTGCTTATCTGAAATGCAAAGATCGTCAGCCTGTTCAGCGTAAGACTTCCACCCTTGGACAAAGTGAAATTCTGTCCATTCACTAGAAAAGACTCTGCATGACCACTTCCACAGGACAGGCTTGCCAACCAACATCTGCATTCTCTCCCTCACTCTACCACGTACCAAAAGCAGGTTATAGTTCAAGCTGGGACTAAGCGGTGAGCAACAACCAGCTAGTAGGCTCCCTTGAGCAGCAGGCTAACTGGAAAACAAAGATGGCTATTAGACATGATGCTGTTTGAGTTGATGGAAGGATCTTTTGTCAAATGCCTCCAAATCAAGTTTTTTTCTGTACCTTGTCAAACCTTCCATCCACCCACCTACCCACACCGTAACTGCCTCCAGTGTCCTGAACACAGCAGCGCTCTCCCACAGCAGACGCAGCTGCTGTCACATATTCTGGCTTCTCAGCAAGTCAAACCCCTTGCCCCACCATTCTCACTGAATGCAACCCTTCCACTGAGGTAATTTGTTTCAAGAGCTCCAGATACTTTTGGCTTTCAAGATCACCTATTTAAAATGTGAAAAAAAGCTTCTTAATCTCAGCAGTTCCTTTGAGTGAGTTCCTGCTGCACAACTGGGCTGCATCCCTTAAAACAAGGGCAGCCTCATACACTGTGGACAAAATGGGTTTCACAGCAAGAAAACTAACCGAGGGACAGATCTGACCGATAAAGAAACCTTGATAATACCATAGCATGAACACACATAGAGCCACAAACAAGAACTAAGAAAGATGAGACTAGCTAGGAACAGTAGCAGCATTTGTTACCCATCAGAAATTAGCACTATGAGCAAAACCAGAACGACCTTACCGTTCAAGACAGAGGCAAAGCTAATGTTAGCAACAAACACTCCTGCCTGTTTTGCTTTCCTCTTCACGCAGAAGGTGAATTGCCATTAGCTGTGTTAATACAATGAATTGCTCGTAGGAAAAGGGCAGACTTGGGGCAGAAACAGAGATAAAATAGGTTAAGGAGGTGGAGAATTTGGATGCTTCCAGACTGACTGGACCTGATTAAATTCACCCATAACCATGACTGTCTTTGACAACTCTCAGAGGTGTGCAAGGCCCCTGAAGGTAGAAAAGGGCAATATAATGCCTGTCTTCAAAAGAGAGGACCCAAATAATTAAGGAACAGACACACTCAGCAACCAGGTACAGTGGAGGTAAGAGTCACCACACTGAGTTCCTCCGCCTGCCAGTTACTGCTGTCTGTGCTACAAGCTGCTGCCCCCCAGATTTCCCCATCAAGAGCTCCAGCTCCCAGACTTGTTTTGCTTAAAAATAGCCAGATTTTTAGTCACTACTAAATTGGCCAGATTTATGTGAACCAGGTCAGGGAGAGCTCAGAACAACAAATCTAAGAGGAGAGGAACAATGACAACGAGCAATAGGAACAACCTCTTCAGTAGGCACATGTGGACCCACCAGAAAGGGGACACTCGTCCACAGGCTCACAGCTCAGGCAGCCTCACTTCAGCTCCCAGAAAGGAAACTCTAAACCCACTTGTCACAACCCTAAAAACAATAGCAGAGTTAGAGCATGCAAATTCTCCCTGCTCATTCCAGAGTGAACTCGGCAGTCTTTGCTTAAACCACTGATGAAGTGGATTGAGTTAAACTGGCTGATTTTGCCCTGTAGCAGATCAGGGGCACGCACTTGTTCTGTCCTGCCAGCTGAGGAGCAGGGACAGATACTTCCAGCTGGTGGAATGAGCAACAAGTAACAGAGACAGTGGTGACTTCAGATACTTTAGATATTTCTGAAAGTAGAGGAGCCTGTCCACACGCTAAGATGTAACAAGCCACATGGGTACAGGAGAAGCAACGCATCTGGCATTAGCTGCGATGAAAACAAGATCTTAACTAACCACACTAAATGAACAATTCCTCTGGTCCCACTTTGCACTCTCTCACCTGATGTCCAGCGCACCGCTGTGCAGATAACAGGCTGTGTTGAGCTTTCCATCTCTCTAAGGCTCCCTTACCTGTAAAGCACTGTAGTTCATCTGGAACCGAAGGATAGCCTCACACAAGTTCCAAAAGGAATATTCTGGCCACAAGACTGACTGAAACACCAGGCATGAATGGGACGTCTGCAGAAAGCAAGATCACCAACAATTTAATCATCTAGCGAGGGAAAAGTCATCAAGATGCAGCTCTGTTGGTGAAACTATGTCAGTTTCCCCACAAAGATTTTACCTAGGCTGTGTTATCAGGTTCTACTTAAAATGAAATGAATAGCAGCCAGGAGAGTTTGAAATTGCACAATCTAGAGCCTTTCTAATTAGTTTTTAATGCTGGGACACAGTCATCCATTCCTGTAAAAATACCAGCAGAAGTCTTTCTATGTTGGTCTTCACAGAGGTATTTTTAATAGCTTAAGCATCACAGACTTAAAACAAAATTAAAATAGCAACACTGGACTACCAAAGGCTGAGTTAAGGGAATAACAGATGAACTGGGGATCAGGACACGACATTTAAGCCATCCATCAAATGACATCTCATAATACTCCTTGCTGCCCACTCATGGCATTTAAAGTGCTTCATGAATCTAAGAGTTGTAGTGCGCTGAAGATATCCTAGAGCTGAAAGATGCAGGCTTTCAAGTTAAAACCTGTTTTCACCATCAAATCCTGCAAAGTTTCAGGCAAATGTGTTCCTATGACCATTACTATAAAATCTAACACTTAAAAGGACTCTGCGTGACTCTTAAAATTGTAACGATATAGCAAATCTTAGTGTCAGTTCTATACAAAAAACCCACCATAAGGCCATTTTCTTTGACACCAGACAATCATCCTGCATAGCACAATGTCCTCCTACTTTGGGGCCGTCAGGACACACACGATTGCTAGTGAAGGGAAATTCGCACTAATGCTCTGGTGTGCGAGCTGGCAGGGTGGGAGCACAAGCACACGTTCTCCTCTGCTGCTTCTGCTGTAACCCATGGCACAGGAGAGGGGCATCACGCCAGCCAGACTCGCAGAGCACTGACTCTGCAATGCCTCACCAGTTCCAAGCTCAGCCTCTGAGGCACCTCTGCCAGGACTACCGCTGAGAGGAGCAAGTGAAATGTTAGTTTGCAGCACTGACACCCATCCAGGGTATACGTGTGCCCAAAAATACAGGGAGGAGAGGGAGATGCCTCGGTAGGCAACCGCAACTCTGGCCAGGCAACTTCTGTGAACTTGCCAATTAAGTAAGTTGGAATAGGAACATTTGATGTGGTTGCTTAAAGGCAATTGGGTTTTGGCTCCAAACTGTACATGTAAAAGAAAATGTTAGCTTCAAATAAAGCAGCTTGACTCAACTGTTCTCCTGCAAAGTTTGCGTTACAAACAAGTCAATATTGCCAATATAGCACAGGAGAGAGAGGAATGGAAGCAGCTTTGGATCCTGTAACTGGAAATACACGAACTTTATATGCGTTAAGAACTTACTATGTTTTAGCTTAGCAGCCTAGTCATGCTGATTTGACTTCGCCATCCTTAGAACCTGTCTTGTGGGTCTTGTTTCATCATGAAAGTCAAATAAACTTCTGAAACTGTGACAAGTCGGGCATGTACATTACGTGTACGGTATAGGGTTACACCTCCAATACCTACAGCTAACGTGTGACAAACACCTCTCTGAGGAATCTATTGCCAGGTTAAATTAATCAAAGCCAGGAATTTACCAATCAAATGAGGAATTACCTAAATGTGAGAAGAGGAGCAAAAGGACAAGTGAATCACAATTTCCTTGACTGCTGTCAGCTAGACTAATTTGTGATTTCTTATTAAGTGTTTTCAGGAGGATACAACATCAGACTTGTGGTGTAAGGTATTTTAGGCAATCACAGAACAGCAAGAAACAGATTCCTCAGAGGTGCCCCAGCACTCAGTCCATCCAAGAAGTTACCTAACTGCTGGCAGAGAGAGTTTAAAAGCCCTCATGTGGAGTCAACAGAACACTCCCTGATGCAAAGATGGAATATTTCAAGGAGAAAACAAAGACCTTACCTGCCAGAGCAAGAAATCACTCAACCGAACCTCTCCAGAGGTTCGAATCAGGAGGTCTGGGTCAGGGGAGTTGTTGGTGTACAGACACTTATCAAGCAACGATTCGGACACATCACTAAGAAAGACAGATGCATCTTATTAAGATCACTTTCCCAAGCTGACAGAGGTGGCACTACTACATCAGAATTACTAGAGGGTTTCTTTATAAACGCAGGAGTGCAGATTAAAACTGGGTGGAGGAGCTGTACCACAGCCAGTCATCACCTTGCTTCTGATGGACACTGCTGGCTGCTCCACAGGTTATTTCAAATGCTCTTTCAGCCCCCAGAGCACCCCCCCCGCCATGCTTTTTGAAACATAATACAGTGGTGGAACCAGACTGTGAGGACTTCCATCTGGAGCAGAGTGCTAACTACTCCATCTCCTCCAGGGTGGAGGAAGTCAGTATTCATGATTCATCTGTTGTTTGACCTCATAGCTAAGACTGCCAGCCAAGCAGCCAATTGTTGTGGCATAAAATCTGCCTTCACATTTAAACTAACTTAAGACACAGACCTATTTCTCTTCTGCCTTGGTTGTGTATCTATCACCATGGTAACTGAAATAATAAAAACCAAACATTGCATAGTAACTTTAAGTCATTTGTTCCAGTCATACTGGTTTAATGAGATCTATTTAAAAGCCACTTGGCTTCTGAGAGGTTATTAATAAAGCGTAGGAGGGAAGACCAGGCAATCTTCATCTATGAAGCCTCACACAGAAAGACGAGAGTTACCTGGGTTCGAGCAGTCCTTGTTCCACCCCCCACGCCATCTCCCTGACAGCATTGCTGATTTCATGTCTCGATGTGTATGCAAAGCAGACATTTAGAAAGCATCTGAAAAGAGGAGAAATACGTGAAAGACTAACCTAAGGAAGGTACAGCAGATGACAGCAAGAAGAATATCTACAACAGTTGTGTGTGCTTGTAGGACAAAGAAAAAGAAAAAAGGTGGATCACATCTGCCAAGTCTCAGCCTTCAGGTAGAAGAGGAAGGTATGAGGTATCAGCTACTTTAAACTGCACCTTACTTACTTGTTGTAGTTCTTAGTTGCCAGCACAGCTTGGGCAATCAGCTCCTGAATATCCAAGGGCAGAAGCGGCAGGTCCCCGAGGACACGGATACACACACCATGCTTCTTCAAGCTCTCCCTGCACCCAACAACAAAAGTGAGGACTACAAGAAACAGACCTGTCCCTACTGCATGAGTGCCATGTTTGCCCTGCGTAACATCCACCAAATGAAAACAGCAGGCATGTAGCAGGCATAGCTTCAGCAAAACTAAGAATTAGAAAAAGGCAAAATGACCAAATGTTTTTCAGGTGTTGACACCTGGCTTTGATTTGACCATCCCAAACCACTCCGCAAAGGGAAACTGATCATTCCCCATACAAGTTCCTGAGGTACGGACATAACCAAAGGACTAGAAAATGATCACAGGTTAGGCATTCCTACCTGAAGTTACAAAAATCCATATGGAAAACTTAGAATACAACCATAGACCCTGGCCACCTATATCTCATCAAAAATTAAGATGACTAATGGCCACCCACAGAGTAGCACAACTACTTTCTGGTGTAAAGAAAGATTAATGTACAAGGGTGGAATGAATGTCAGATGAGACAGGAAATCATCCATGCCTGTTGTAGCATTATTCTGAGCACACAGGACACCCCACAGGATCTTACAGGTCCCTGCTGGTGTCTGCCTGCTGGTGCAGACTCCCTGATGAAGGGCCACATTGGGTATGGCCCAGGGAAATGGCCTCTTTGAATCACACTGTACTGCAGTGCCCAGACAGCCCTGATCTTCCCAGCTTCTACTAGCACACACATGCTATCCTCTCCCTCCCATTCTTCCAGCTGCGTCCCCTCACTGCCTTTCAAATTTGCTTCAACCAGATAAGCACCCCTTCCACGTACCACCCTTCGCACCAGTCAGGCGTAGGGAAACAAACACATCCACTGAGCACCAAGGCACTGCAACACCACTCCCCGCTCACTCAGAACTTACTAGTTCCATCTGCACACACTACGTGAACTAGTTCTCCAACTCCAACAAGCAACTTAATGCACCACGTGCCCATACGTAGAAGTCTCAAGTTACTGCAAAGCAAATTGCCGAGCTAAACTCTGATCTGCCAAGAATTCAGGATTTAAGAATTCAGAATGACAGAATTTAAGACGAGGCTTTGATACTTCATGAAAACAAGGCATCTAGCACTAAGCAGGAATTTCTAATTGTGCTGTGCTCATCTGAAAGCTGTAGTGTTCCAACAGTTTGGATGGGACTGTTGCACAGTAAGCCATACGATACAGACACAAATCTGCTGTGCTTGGGGACTGTGCGTGCTCAGGAGCCGTATATCCCGTCCAGGTAGGCAGAGCCCCTCAACACAAATCTCTAGCTGGAGGCAGAGAACAGCTTTCTTCATTTAATCCATTTTCACAACTTGTAGCATCCCTGTAAACACCTCTTAATCATGTTCTGCTTTAGTTTCACCCTGTGGGATACAGACATGAGAGGATTCTTACTGTTCTTCCAGTAGGCGGCTAAATTTCTGTCTTGCCAGATCCATTAGTCCATCCACCTCCTCCTTGGAGCGTTTAAAATTCTCAATACTAAAGGCATAAACAGTGACCTCCCGAATGCCCAGATTTAAGCACCACCGCAGCGTCTGCAAGATGACAAAATATAATGGAAAACAAAAGTCACATAAGCAGACTCAGACAGGTCAGCAAGACCCAGCTTCTCCGCTGCTAAAACCTTCCTGTCATTTCCCACTGTGCTAAGACTGGATCAAAAGAAAAAAAACCATCAAGAGCAGGCAATGAAACCCACTTGATGAGAATTTCAAATTCATCTTAAAGAACAGGAGGAAAATATCACTATCTAAGGATGTGAATCCACAACAGATATGGAACTAATCCAGCCAATCTACTTCTTGTAGATTACATTATAAATTATACAATACCATACCCTTCAAAACATTTTCAGAGAAATTTAACCTGCTTCAAAGAATTAGAAGCTTCAAGATCTGCAAGGCAGATATCTTGATTGAGCGTAAAACAGAGGGGGGGGAATAGCTGATTAGAATGACTCTGCAAGATAACAGGAAGAGAGAGAGAGGAGCTGAAGTTGGGAACCCTGACGACGAACGTCAGCTCCAAGCACCGGCCTGACCCCAGTGAAGAACAGGAACACAATACACCAGTCAAGTAGTAAACAAGTCAGCCAGTGAACACGGCTCAGACTTTTAACACACAACAAAAAGGCAGCAAACATCCTTCCCACCTGTGCCAGCTTATCAAAGCCCTGCGAATGCCCCTGCTGTCTCTCCACGTGGCACTTTTGGGCATAACGGCGATTGCCATCCATGATGAAGGCAACATGCTTGGGCATTGGACCTGCCTAGAAAATAAGGAGAAACACAACAAACCAGAAAGTGAACAGCCACGCTGGTGTCTTGCATTGCAGAGAGTTTAGTCCCACTGTTCCTGTTCCTGGCAGGAACCACCTATTTGTAGGAGTGCAGGGCATATCTCCCAGCTTTGTCTGGAGCTGGAAAGAGTAAGATGCTAATTACCGCTTCGCTAACTCTAGTTTATGCTCTCTAAAAAGCATGTCAGTATTGACAATTGCCTAAACTGAAAAGCAACTTTGCCCTCCCCGCTTCTGGGGCATGACAGGGAACTGTAGTACGCGGGAGAGAGCAGCACTGCCACGGCTACCGCTCTGCAGCCACAGGGGAGGGTGCACCCGGTTTTACGCTGCCGTAATTGGAAGTATTTTTTATTTCAGAGTTCAAGGGCATTTTCACAGACACAATTAACTTAAAACAAAAATGTCACAAGACCTTCCCCCACTTGAGAGGAGTATTTCTATCCACTGACTTCATTGGGTCTGCACAGATCCCTTCACGAGAAGGACAGCGTCACCAGTCTCAAGACTCTGCTGAGCAAGGACAGAATTTTCCTGGAACTGGTGCGTTATTATTCTAATCAAGAGAAACTCAGTTTCATTTCTTCGACTCATAATCTGACCATCTTGCTTCACTCCCTCCTCCCATGTCCTGCCTTCCTCAGCAAGGGCACAAACCATGGAAGCCTGGGAGTGTAAGCTCATTATTGGCAGGCACTGCCTACAGCCTTGCTCATTTGCAAGACTAAGCTTAGGTAATTTTCCATCCCTGAATTTAGGGACGTACATCCAGTGCCAGCATTAATATGTACCCTTGCTAGCAACGCTATATTTCTAGAGCAGAGCAGTGAGAGAGAGAGTTCCACTCTGAACGCTGATGAACCTGCCAATTCTTTACCACAGGTAACGAAATTCATTCCTTACCTTAATGATGTTGGCACAAAATCTCTCTATGATGCTCAGCTCGCCTTCTCTGATCCACGACATGTCTGACCAAGAGCTCCTTTTCTTTTTCAATGGGAAGATGAAAATAAAGGGGTTAGAGCTACAGAAGACTCTGAGCCCAAAGCAACACTAGAAACCATCACCTTGGAAAAAAAAACTTTGACTAGCTGCTTTGGAGCCCTTTATATCATCTGTACAAGTACTTTGATAAGCAGACAACGGGGGAAGCTCAGAAATGAGGTCTGGAGTTTTCCAGCTGTATGTCATGAGAGGGGATTCTGCACTAGCTGGTAGCAAGAAAAAAAAACATTACTGTGTCTTCCAGCCAAACTAGCTGGTGAGTTGGTACAGCCCCACAATTTGGGCTACCACCAGGCAAGTCACGGAATGGCAGCAGCGCAAACCGACCTTTGGTGCTTTTGTGTGGGAGTTCTTGGAAAGCCTTCAAGTGAAGCAACCACCTACATCACTGACTACCCTGCACTAGTGTCACCACTGACATTTCTTCTCACAAGTAGAGAACTTCAGTCTCTGGAGCTGTAAAAATATTGGGGTTTTTACCACATTATCTGCACATCAAATACTAATGTCTGGTTTGAGCTAACAAGATACAAGAGTTTGCTGAACTTCCACATTAATCTTCCATCCTCTCAGCTAGGAACCCTGAGAGATGTGGGTACAGCAGCTATCAAGAGAGTGCTATGGGGGCAACAGTCCAGATCCAACCACCCGGTAGACATCCAAGGACCGAAGCAGATTCAAATTACACCGACTGCATTAATTTTCTGTATCAGCCTCCTCTGCCTCTTCCCTCAGGAAGGGATGTCTAGCCA